GGTGTCAGCAGGGCTTGTGCCTTCTGAAGGCTTTGGGGAAGGATCATCTGTCACTTCTCCCAGCTTCTGGGGGTGGCTGGTGGTCCCCGGCGTATTTGGCTTTTGGCTGTACTGCCTCTGTGACCACATGGCTTTTCCTCTCTGTGTATCTGGGTGTCTCCAAATATCTGTCCTTACTAAATCCAGCCACTGGGTGTAAGGCCCACCCAAATTCGGTGTGAATGCATCCCAACTTGATTACATCCGCAGAGGCCTTGTTTCTGGCCACATTCATGGGTGACATGGACTTGAACGTGTCTGTTTGGGGAACACGATTCAACCCAAACCCCAACATTTGGGAGTGTGTTTTTTTCTTTCTTCCTGGTCATGTAGGAAATGAACTACAGAATTGGGGAATGTCACATACAGACTCCTGGACTGTGTTCATGCTCACCCATCATTGTTGCGAATGTGATTTTCTTTGCTCTAACTTCAGATGTTAGTAGCTTGTTTTTGTGTCCTTAGGAACATATTTCTGCTCTCAGGAAATATTCCACCTGGGAGGGATTAAACTTTCTCATAGCCAACAGAAGCGTCCCAGGGTTCTGGAAATAGAACAAAAAACCAGTTTTCGGTGTTAGAGGGAACACATGAGAGTCCAAGATGGCATGAGCTACTGCCTGGTCAGACATTGCTGCCTCTGGACTAAGGAGTTGAGAGCAGATTGAATGACTGGGCAGCAGTACTCTGTCAGCCATCTCCTGGCTACTGGGAGCACTCCATATCTCAGAGGCAGGGTGTGCCTTTGGAAGCTTTGTGGCCTGAAGCCCTAGCTCCCTCCTACCAGAACTTTCCTAAGCAACTAAGCAAGGAAATGAAGCTATGTGAAGAAGAAAGATGGTACTCTTAATGCGTCCTGGAGAGGTTTGGAAAACATTGTGTATCCAGAAGCCACTCTGCCCATGTGGGCTGCAGCCATGGGAGCTTTTTCCTTTATTTTGTTTTGTTGTGTTCTCCTTCTCTGGCAGATGTTTGTATGGAAATGTGATCTTTAGTTCCCTAAAGACCTACTTCTCTGGAGTTAACTCTTTTGAAGTTACGATCTTTTGTGTAATGCTTTCTGGTCACCTTGATTCCAAGTCGAGTGTTAAGCATCACAGAAAGGAAAATTCTGCGGGCTCTGCATGCAGTTTGAGCATACAAGAAATAACTACAGCGAATGTGGCTGTCTTGTGTTCTTGAAAACTACCGTCCAATTTAATTCTTTCACAAATACAGAAGCACTTGAAGAAGGCAAACGAATCTGGTTTCCTTGGGCATCATGATGATGGATATTTATTTCCCCAGTACTGACAAAGAGGAAAGCTGCAAATTCACAGAATCCTCCAGGTTTGGGATACAGCAGTTGGTCATGACAGGCCTGTCTTGAGGTTCCCACTGCTCAGCCTTCCTTGTAGATGAGATAGAACGTGAGAGCTTGCCACTTGTTGCCTGCTCTGGCTAAAGCCTGAAGCCCCTCCTGGATTCAGAGCTACTTCAGGAAACATGTTGGATGCGTTCTTGGAAGCTCTTAATGGCTATTTCCAGCTCCCCAGGGCTTGAACAGCCACAAACCTCTGGAACTGCTGTCTGGGTCTCCACTCTGGAATCCTCTGAACCCTGCATATGCATAATGTGGGAATCAACAGGATGGTTCCACCCAGAAATGGAAGGGAAGTGCCTAAAGCTGATGTATTCCTTTCTTACCTCCTCCCTACTCCAGCTGCTTGAGAATGACCAACCAAAAAAAAGGACCACCCTACTGGATTGTTGGAAAACATTCCGCATTCATAGTTGCTAAACTTGACCTATATGCATTAGAATAACACGCTTTTCTGAATGAGACTCAGGCTGTCACCCTCTTCTAGACCTAAATGGTGAGGATCACACCGATGAGCACTCAATTAGAGAATAGTGCAACCCATTTGCTAATAGGCATGTTGTGGTTGGGAATTTGGAAAGAATATTTAATTTCACATGCATTTATGTTCTCGTTTTTGTATTAAAAATGTCCAAACAAATTCAGTGTGTGGGAAAGAAGCACACATTAGCACTCAATAATGAAGAAAATGCTCAAACACTAAGCCAGTTGAGTTTGTTTGATACATTCCTTCCTCTGTGTTGCAGAAGACATGGATGTTGAATGCTACATGGAATGAGTAGTTCCACGCTTTTCTCCTGGGTGGATGGTAGGGGTTGTTTAGAGAACCTCTACCCTTCTATCTAGAAAGTTGCTCAGACTGAGCAGAGCAAGAGAGTGAGGCACCATTGGCACCAACAGCCCTGATGTTAGGGCTCTTATGATGAGTCACCCACTGGCCCTGCCCATTCCCAACCTGGTCACCTGCAGGCCAGGCTGGAAAGCCACTCTAGAAACTGTGGATGAAGGCAGATTTGGTGTCCAGGGAGTCCATGGACATGCAGTCAAAACCCTAGGAGCAGACTTCTCCTCCTCCTCCTCCTACTCCTCCTCCCTCCTCCCTCCACCCTCCTCCTCCTTTCTTCTTCTCCCTTCCTCCTCCCTTCCTCTTTCTTCTTCTTCTTCTTCTTCTTCTTCTTCTTCTTCTTCGAGAGAGAGAGAGAGAGAGAGAGAGAGGGAGGGAGGGAGGCAGAGACGTAGGCAGAGGGAGAAGCAGGCTCCATCCATGCAGGGAGCCTGATGCGGAACTCGATCCTGGGACTGTGGAATCACGCCCCGAACCAAAGGCAAATGCTCAACTGCTGAGCCACCCAGGCATCACCAGCAGACTCTTCTAGTAAGTCTTAGAGAAGGCAAAGCATCAAGGCACATAGTGGTAAAGAGCATGGCTTTAGATCCCCAACTGGTTTCATCTGCTAGTTTGTCACCTTTGGCGTGTCACTTGCTTTCATCATTTGAAGCATTTAGAATTGAGCATCTGATGGGTACTTAGTAAGTATTAATAATATAATGTCCACTTACGTAAATGTACAGTCACTATACTGTCAAAATCTGTCACTGGTCACCCTGAGTGTGAGAGCCCAAGGAGGCTGGCTGGGTATGTTCAAAGTGGTATGCTTGTGATTTATTTAGCTCTTAGCCCTTGAGGCCTGGTGGCCCACTCTGGATGTGACACTATCATTCTTGGAGCAGTGACAATGTTTAGGTGTGTGCTATCTCATGAGAAACCTCTCCCGTGAGAGAGGAGAGACACCTCTGTATGAGTAATCCACATCTGTAGGTCACGTGTGTCATCCTTCAGTTGCCCTTGGATCACACCTTTGATATCTTAGCAGGCCTTTGTATTTTAGCACAGAGGTCTGAAGGGGTTCAGAATCTAGGTACCATGCAGGTAAAACTTCCCTCAACCCAAAAAGGCAATCCCCAGTAAAACTAGTTAATATTTATTGAGTGTTATTTGCCAGGCATTGTTCCGAGCAATGTTAGTTAAGGAAACAGGCTCAGAAGGGTTAGTAAGAGGTCCAAGGTCATACAAAGATGATACAACCGACATTGGAAGCTGTGATTATAGGTTTAGTCCTATTAACCACTGTTGACATGAATCACTGTGGGGTGAACAGACAGCCCTGGTCCTGCCTTCCCAATGACGGGGATTGAGGTGCTGCTCTGAAGCATGGCAGCATCCTTACTGTTTATGGAGGGCTGCCATGTGCTCAACCCTTAGACTCACCCTCTAGAAGAGGAGGGAGGCAGTGGTGAGCAGCCCTTTGTGATTGATGTCTTCCAGAAGTGAAAATAAGGAGCCATTGACAGCACCAAAAAGGGAATGAGTAACTCAGTGAAGGAGGAGGAAGTGCTTCTCAGGGCAGTGACATCTGAACCAGGTTTCAAAGAATAAATAGGAGCTCACTAAGCACACTAAGTTGGGCATAGCAGGCAGAAGAAATAGCATGCAAAGGACAAGGATATGAAATGGCAGGGATCTTTTAAAGGTGGAGGACAGCAAGTCCCTTAGCATGGATGGATGATCAAGTGTAGGGGTGAGGGGATAAGGGGATGTCCTGTTTGTTGAGCCTGGAGAAGCAGAGAGAGCCAGAAGACAGGAGTATGCTTTGCCATGCCAGGGAACCCAACTTTATCCTGGGCAGGTGGACAATTTAATATTACAGTTTTAAAACAAGGTCATAATCTCCCAACCTTGATGCAGTTAGTAGTATTTTTTCCTCTGCTTTTATCATCATAATTATTGAAGAAAAAGATTACAAGTCCGTAAGTTCCATATCTGATGTGTGTTGCTACTGTGTTTAAAAAAATGTTAGTTTTTAAATCTCCTCCACTTGTTTCTCTTTTTTTTTTCATCAGCAATTCTCTTTGGCAAAAGTTATTTTCATATGCCAGGATAAGTACTTTTGAGTTTTTTAAAATGTTTTAAGTGGACTTTGATTGCATAAGAGCATCATGCAGAACTGTTTCCAGTAGTATCTTTATAGCAGGAATGGAGACTAAGACTGATTATGTAATTGTTCCCTTAATTTATTCTCAGAACCTAACATGCTGCCAGCATAAAAAAAAAAAAAAACCTAATGATCACAATGGTATCTGACTGTCTCTTGCTCACGGTTTCTGGCACTATTGCTCTTGCATTGTTCACTGCAGAGTAGAAATGGATGGTTTCAGTGCAGCATGACTGTTTGCAGCACTGGGCACCCCAGACTCATGGCTCTGTCTGTCCATCTTGCCGTGCCGCCCACAGCCAACCACTCTCACTAGAGAGGATTCATGTATACTCTTTAGAGACCCTCACCAGTATCTCACATGTTAACCTTTGGATAAAGAGAGGCAGCATACTTCTGCGCTGAGGTTGCATTTTGCAAGGAGCACAGAATACCATCTGTCAGAGGAGGCGGCGGCGGGAGTGTGCAAATATTGCTGTGAATTCCATGAATGCTTAATTGCTACGGTTGGGTGTTTTGTTTTGTTTTTTGTTTTTTTTTTTAATTTAAGAGTCTTTGCATTTAGTTTGTTGTTTGTTCTTTTTTTTTATTTATTTTTTATTTTTTAGAATAGTCCTTATCAGTGGCAGAAGATCCTTCTGTAGTATATTTTCCGTGCTGCCCTATCGTGACAGTGCCCAAGTTGGGTATGTATATGCATGCTTGCTTTATAGTTCTCTGGGTGAAAAGCTGTGACACTGTGTTCATAATAAGGTGGCTACCCTTTCCATTTCAAAGAACTTGCCTTGCTTTGACACTGCAAATTCAATACTTGTAAATATGGGGGGGGGGGGGGAAGAAAGCTCCACTTTCTTTTCAGCCAGAAAGCTTCCTTGTTACTTTGTGTGTGTGTGTGTGTGTGTGTGTGTGTGTGTGTGTGTGTCCCCTCACCTTATTACCTCCTGTTTCCAAATGTACATTTTATTACCTCTTTCTGTAAAGCAAGAGCAATCCAGGGACCCATCCCATTCCTCAGGGCCATGTCAACTTTTTGGAGAAAGGTAGGTGAAGAAAGGAATCAAGATAAACCATATGAACACCCTGCCTCTTTGCGTCTTGGGCTTGGGGCTGGAAACTGATGAGGAAGCTGGAGCAAATATCAAAGCAAAATGGTACCAGGAACAGACCTATGTGATTTGCACAGGCCAAAGGAACACTTACTTCTCTAGATCAACAAGCCCCTCCTTTTGCACTGAAGAAAAGTAGGTAAGTGAGGCTCTGTCCTTCTGTCCTTGCAGAGCCTTCCCTCTTCATTTTCCATGCCAAACTCTGCTCTTGTCCACTGAGTCTTGACTGCCTTGCCCCTCACCTGTCACTGCATCTGGGATTTGTCATCAGGGAGCTGCTGGTATTTAGAGTAGGGATAGCTCACTGAATAGGATGCTAAGAAACTTGCAGGATGTTGGCTGTGACCTCTACAAACTAAATGCTGGACTTGCCCTCTAGACACTGTCATAATGACACACTACCCATTCATGACCACTGTACCGTGGGAGGGTATTGTGGCGCTTGGTGCTGATTGACCATTTATTCTTCTTTCACCATACTCCACGAGCTCTCCCTGGTCCTCCCTGGTCCCGCCCTAATCCCCCAAGACCTGTCAGACTTCCACCTGTTCAGTTCACTGTGGTCCTTATTTGTACTCTATGCCATAAGTGTTGTGGACAGAGAGTCTTATTCATGAAATTCTATCATTTATTTGATGTGTGCCTTAAAGAGTAGCAGTAATCTTACTGTTTACTGAGCACTTAACTTTGTGCTGGTCCTTTTCACTCCTTGCATCCTTACAACAACCTTGCAAAGTAGGTGTTCTTGAGAAAGTAACAGCAAATCCTTCAGCTCAGAGGTTCAAGAATCACCTAGGTGTGGCCAGCAGAGTTGCCAGGAGACCTCAGGAAAAGGTGTACTTTACCAGCCTGCTGTGGTCCCAGGTTTGGCTGCACCTGAGAGCAGGCTTACTCCCTGTGGACACTAGGTTGTACCAGCTCACAGACCTATGCGTGACCCAGAGGGCCAGTCCTTTCATCTTATTATGCAATTCATGGCCCCAGGGCCCAGATTATTTCAGTGTGACCAGCCTGTGAGCCCATTTCCACGGAGTTCCAGAATCAGTGGAAGGCTGTCTGCAAGTATGTCCTCTCATGGCCAGCTTGGATGGTCGCTCTGGGGTTGTCCTTATTTTAATATTTTCCTGGGCTTCCATTGCTAACCTTTCTGATTGATGTATTCTTCCATTGGCTATGTCCCATTTATTCATTTACTGAGTGCTTATTACGTGACTAGATCCTGGGATAAAGTTAGTGAAAGATCTTGGACCTAGTTCCTGCCTCCTGGAACTTACAACCAAGAAGGGGAGGGAGACACATTAAGATTTCACACATGATTAATTACCACTTTTAATTAAGGCTAAGGATATTCAATTAGGTGACTGCCAAATCTTCCTGGTTCAGAACTCATTCGGTTTCTTTAACATAATCTGACTTCTCTGTGCTTTTGTTTTAGAACTGTTCATGTTTATTTCATTCTGGAATGGTGATCTTATTTCCCAGTTCTGGGACTCCTTCGTATAGTAGCCAAGTACTTACCCTGTTTTGTAGATAGGACCACTGATCCTCAAGAATTTTTTTTTAAGATTTTATTTATTGACAAAGAGAGAACACAAGCAGGGGGAGGGGCAGGCAGAGGGAAAGGGAGAAGCAGACTCCCCTCTGAGCAGGGAGCCTGATGTGGAGCTGGATCCCAGGACCCTGAGAATATGACCTGAGCCAAAGGTAGACAGTCAACCATCTGAGCCACCCAGGAACTCTGATCCTCAAGAATTATGGTCTCAAACAGCAACTTTGGGCCAGAATGGGAATTTGAACCTAAGTCTGTCCATCTGTCCAACTCCAGAACTTTTGTGAGTCACCGTGGCCCACAGGCAAAACAAGTTCCATATTCACAGAAGGCCATCTGTGAAGTGGAGCTTCTATGAAAACTGCCTCACAGAGATTAATAACTAAGACTCCTAGGGCAACTGACTATGCAAGGTCCAGCACGGCACCTCACACAAGGTGGTAGATGGGGCCAACTTGTCAAGGACCCCACATTTCATAAAAGCAGTGTTGGGGGTCAATGAGAATTTGAGAGACTTAATAGTTTTTTGTGGGCGGAACACTTGCCTCTGAGCCTCTGCTTGTTCCTCTCTACAATGGGCATCTCACATTACTACCTACCCATGTCGTTACTTTGAAGATCACTGTGTTGTAGGCAAAGCTCGTGGGAGCACATTTTACCTTAAAACTACCTAGGAAGAGAGGACCCAGACTATGACTATGGCATCCTTAGTAGACATATATGGCCCTCCACATCTTTGACATGTGGAGGAAATACTAGCTGGCAGCCAGGGTGCTGGGAGGAGGGCATCCATCACTGCCTGGGTCTCCTCGACTCCTGCTGGGAAGGCCCTGTGGGTTACAGGAGGGTATGTCACAGGGTTGGCAGCACATCTAGCTGTTCTGCTGGCTACCCCAGAGGAAGCAGCAGAGTGTTTGTGGGATCATAGGATGTAACGTTTTACAGCTTTGACATGAATAAACTCTCCTCCTTCAGACTTTATGAATAGGGAAACCAAGGTGCAATAAGGTTAATTTTCTATAACAAAAAATTATCAAGTCCATTGTAATGCCTGACAGAGAAAAGAACATATTTCTGTAGCATATTTTACTTAAGTGCTCACACAAGAAATTATGAACACCATTCAGAATACTGTAATTTAGCAGCAGGATGAAGCAGCAGTTCTGTTTTTTAAATTTTTTGATGAGCAGACATTCTGTTAATGAATAACTGCCATTTAAAATTAGGATTATTTTTACTAATTACTGGGAAACTGCTATGCTCAAATAATAAAAGTATTTATACTAGTAAATTATATACATCTATATTTTATAGTTCATGCCTGTATTAACTAATAGCTTTCTGCTGGAGTTCTCTGATTGGGACACAAATCATAAAATTTCAGGGGTGGAAAGGACTTCAGAGATGACATGGCCTGGTCTCCTTGCTTCATAGCTGGGGCCCCTCAGGTATACGGGTGGACACTTAGCAGCACCAGAATCTGGTACCCCAGCCACCTTAGCCTGCAGATTTTGTTCTTTCTGGTCACCATTTTTCTGTTGCTTATGCAGGTAGACTGAGCCACAGGCGCCTGTTTATTCCAGACAAGTGTAAACTGTCCCCCCTACCCCTCTAAAAGGGGTGATATACAGCTCCAAGTCCACCACAAGGAAGTTTTAAAAACAGGAAACTCAGAAGTTCATCCAGTGTGTACTTGAACCTCTTTTACAAGGAAAGCATCTATCAGGATGGCCTTATCTCTTTCCGGTTCTGTTTTCTGGCTTCTCATGCTGCATTGGAGCTTCCCAGTCCTGGCTCCCACCCTGACCCCAAAGCTTTGTTCTTGGTTTTAAACTGAACTGAGCACTTACTTTGGCTCCTGACATCAGTTGACCAAAGCAGACAGACCAGTCTCGGGAGAGGTTTTACCATTTATTTGTTCAGTTACTTAATCACTCATACATTTCTTCTGCCCGAGTCCCTAAGCAGTGTGCAGCTGTGGCACAGAGGAAGGTGTTCAGTGAATTCAGACGGAGGGATCAGGGAGTGCTCCCCAGAGACAACAGGTCTTCATTGAGATGTAGAAGTGTGAGGTCTTGGAGAAGTGGAAGAGGGTATTCCAGCCTCACGGTTGCCTTCTGAGGATGTAGAAGGTGGTCCGGCCCCTTGTGAACTTCTTGGGAGGCAGGATGGGGAAGATTCTCTATAATGCCTGGAACATTAAGAAAATTGGGTAAATTGCCATCCAGGTGGGGCTCCCATTGCTAACCCACACTGCAGCAATGAGCCCTAGGTAGTGAGGGGAGTGGGTAGAGACAAGTGAGCTGTCCTGGGACACCAGGTTCTGAGATGTCACTGCCACAGGCCCATCACTCAGCTTGCCCCAGGTCGGTTTCATACAACGTGGAGCTTTGACTAGACTCTCTAAAGATCTGCACACTCTGTTATCATCCCTGTCAATTTTGCTAATGTGGAAGCTGTAAGTCTGGTTGAACGAGGAGTTTATGAATGAGGCATGCTGTTCACACTTTCCATCCACCAACGATCAGCTGCTTCTAGAGCTCCTATCTGAATAATTATTCTCCATTCAGTTTTTTAAAATTTGAGAGTTTTTTTTTAAAGTGCAGGTCTGATGACTGCAGTTTTATTTGATACATGGTTTCCTGGTGTGAGCTTAATCACCCCGGGGTTGACATGCAATGTCTGGAGTCCTTTTACATGCCATCAGGTTTAGACTTCTATGCTAACAGTAGAATCATTCACCGTGATTTCTAGAACTTCCACTTGAAGCAGACTGCCCTGGTTATTTAGCAAGTACCGTACTCTTCAAACTATTCTTTCCTGCCTTGATTCATAGGTAAAGATATTTGAGAAGAGAGCATATTTCCTTAAGGTTAACTGATTAGATAGACCCACATCTGTGTGAACATGATAGTGGAAGGAACACAAGCTGAAGCATAAATAATGCTTATAGTATGCTGGGTGTTGTGCTAAGGGCCCTTATACATTTGCTTATATAATCTTCACAAGAGCCTCATAAAGTAGGTTCTGG